GAGAAAGTGAAAGAGAAAAGATTCTAACTTTCCCCCAATGTTTCGCCGGAATCCAGTCGAACTTGTCAGCCAAAACATAAAAGACTCCCAATTAAAAAATTCACCATAGAAGAATACGATTCTACGTTATGTTTGAACTTGAACCCAGGTTTTTGCGAAATTCAGTAAAAAAAATCGTTGATGCTGGATTTTGACACAACTATTCACATGTGTAAAATGCTAAAATGACTTAGAAGTCACACGTGATAGGAGGGGATTGAATCAAATAAAAGGTGAAGAGCAATATTTAAAGTGGTTCGGATGCTCGCAAGCGAATCCTACGTCCACTGCTATTGTATTAATAAGAGAGAGTGATTAGGTCGCATTCAGCGAGCCGAGTTACAGTTTAGGAAGATAGAGAGCTATTTCAGCGTAAAATTAGCTAATCCCCACAAATGAGAGAGAATTCCTCTATTTATAGTGGGAAAGTTCAAAGTAATGATTATGAAAGCTGCAAGTGGGTAGGTGCCGTGTAAATCCTTTCTTTACGTCCCATTGATCACCTGCTCGAGAGATTTCCTCGATTTAAAGCAGGCCTTTGACATGTGAGCACACTTGGACGGCGCAGAACCCTTCTGAACTTTGACCATCCTTTACTGACGAGGCTTCACGTCAGTCCTACTTTTTCCGGCATAACAAAAATCAAGCGCAATCTAGGGATTCAAGTTCAATTTATACAGGGAAGAAACATGGGAAGCGAAAATAATAAAAGCAATGAGCTTCTTCATTAAGGGGTTTTTTTGCTGGTTTTTAGGGTTTTTTGTGAGGATTGGGAAAAGCTGAGAGGGGAGATCTGGTGGGTCAAGGTCGAGAGGAAGAGCAAAAGAGAGGTTGAGAAGAGAAACTGACCTGGATTTTTTTTTTTTTTTTTTTTTTGTAAGGTGATGATAATGGCGGTGTACAGCTGATAGCTTGATTGCAGGAATTATGCTTTATTGCAAAGTGTACAAATGATTGCATATATAATTTTGCTTGATTTGTGTTAAAATTAATATAGAATGTTAGTTGCAGTTACCTTGTGGATCAATCTTCTGGTTGTACTTTATCAATGCATCTAAAGTAACTGGCAGCTTCTAGCCATCTCAATTCTCCAACGTCTGGCAGGTAAATGGGAACAAACAAAATAGTTCAGCCTCTCAATGTTAAGAATCTTTTGAATCTTTTCATTTGAATAATAAGTGATTTGCAGACAAAAATCAATTAGTCTTTAACTACGTATCTAAATGGAAAGTATGAATTAGAGTTGTTTGGCCGACATTGAATTGCTTCAATTGAAGTTTTTTGTGAATTAGAGTTGTTTTATTATGTTTATTAAGAAATAATAGTTGGGGTAAATAAGTAATTTTATAATTAAAAAGTGGGTATAAAGATAATTGACTCTCCCTATATAATAAACATTTAAATCAAATAGGGATGGTATTTTGTTTTACAACAAATATATACTAATTTAACAGACTTTACTAACGGAACATAATGGTGGGTGGGAAAGTGTCATTTAAAACTTTTCAGGTGAAAAAGTGTGATTAGGCCAAACCTTAGGGGGGAAAAGTGGTTTACTCTGCATACCATAGCTGGATACGAAAGCTACATCAAATTTTCTGACCTTTTAAAAATAAAACAATTACCATAGGCCTTGCTAATAATGTTATAAGTACCAGTATATGCCAGTCTTGCATTGCAGCGCCAGGCGGCCATACCGCCCCTATCCTAATTTTACTAGAAAACGCTCCCAACCTACTTCTAGTGGGACGTTACATATATTGTTCTTGCCCTCTCTGCCTCCTCGCTTCATCACCGTTGCAATGCCTGGAAACCGTACCATGCACGCTTCACTAGATACGTATGGCGGAGGACCCGCTGGTTTGAAGGTGGTTTTTTTTTTCTTTAACTTATTATCTCTTTATTTTCCGGGTTTCTTAAAATTATTTTTCCAACAATTTATATTTCATTTGCTCTTATCCCACTACGGGCTACGGGTGCGTTAATTTGTTTTCGGTTTGATTTCGTGGAGTTATTAAGTAAGAATGAAAAGGGTGTTAAACTTAAGTCACAAGTGAAGATTCATTTCACTGTAATCTTTTTTGTAGTTCTTGTGCAATCATGTTTAGGAGTTTCATTAAATTAATCATTTTCTTGACTTTGAAACAAGGCACAATGATTTATAAAGGGACCATTTAGTTGACTCTAATTCTGATGTTGCAGACTTTATTTGGAATTTAGATTGGTGTTTGTGAACAATCTCAATTTTTTATTTCTTTAATCATTTTTAAATGTTTGCTGAAACTGAATGAAAGAAAAATACACCTTTCCAATTAAAAATCAGTCAAACAAGTTTCAAGGTTGATTTGAAGTATTGATATGTGCATATGTTTTACCCATTTCTCCTTAGGTTTATACATAGATTTAGCGTGGGAGTGTTAATGTGTTATCACCAAATCCAGTGTTACTTTAACTGATTATTAAGATAAAGATAATGCCTGTTGCAGCACTTGATTGACAGTTCCCTCTCCAAAAAAGGATGAGGTTTTGCTGAAACTGGAAGCAACTAGTCTAAATCCAGCTGATGGAAATGCAGAAGGGCATGCTGCGGCCATTTTTGCCTCGCAAATTTCCTTACATACCTGGTAACTCAATTTTCCCTATGATGTGGATCTTTGATAACTGTATACTTTGCTATGTATCTATATATATATACACACACACCTACAGTAGAACCTCTATATAGTCATAATATTGAGACCACTAAATTTATTACTATAAGAGGTTTAATTTAATAGAGGCGTAGTTACAAGAATTATTGTTTTGATTAAAAAATTATTGTATTGGTTTCTATTTTTATAATTCATGTTTTAGTAATATTAAGATTTCAATTTATTATTTAGTAGCATTATGATAGTACGGAAATAGATATTAAAGAATCATGTAAAATTAAGTGATCAGATTCGACAACTTCACTACACTAATCAAATGATGTTAATGTCTTCCTCGATCATCCAAATAAACAACAAGTCGTGTATGCTTTAATTGAAGAAGAAATCATTATTGAAATTAGATAGAAGAGGAAGGAGATAATCCTGAGGATGGTAATGGAAATACCACAAGTTCATATCAAGAAGCTCTAAACATGTTTGAGAGCTAGAAATATTTAGCTCAACAAGAAGGTATCAATGCAACGACTTATATCTACAGATAAAAGATATGATAACAACTCTAAAAAATAAATCATTGTTCTAAACAGCTTTAGATAAATATTTTATTTCTTCTTAAACCTTTAATGTAACATAGCATATTTTATTGCAATATACATATAATTATTACTATATAGAGACAAATTCTTTAAGATGGTACCTAGAAAAACTATAACTTGTTATAATGTAAAATTTATTTTTATTTATAATTGGCCAAGTTCGGACCAAAAGAGTTATTCCTATTAGAGTATCAATTATATATATATATATATAATATTATGGGGATCTTAGATGTGTACAACTGTGATATGGATATGGTAATCATTTCTTTCTGTGTTTTTACAGTGAGCACTGAAGATGTAGTAAGTGCTTTAGTATTGCTGAAACACAAATGGTGTAATTTGCTTTCTATCGAAATTTTGATTTTTCTTATGTTTCAATTAAATACCAAGTACCAACACAATATTGAATTTGAGACCCCCTCAGTGTTCCAGACCCCTACCTGTAGTGCTTGCTATGACAGTTTTGGAAGCTTTGTGTTGTAGCATGCTGTCTCTGATTTGATATTTCTTTTCTTCGGTTTGTTTGACTCGTGGCAAATCAGTCTTATTTCAGCTACATTCAGTGTCAGTCAGTCGTAATTGATCATAAAACAGCTGCACTGTCTCATGCAACATTTGGGTTTATGCCACTCAAGATCATAAACCTTTAAATAAACTTAGTTGTTGGTATGACATTATATTGTACTGGAATCTAAATGAAACATTGCCACACCAAACTGTATAGATATCCCAAACTAAAATCTTGATTTTTCTGTTTCTGAAGTTTGGATATAAGACTATTGTATACGAATATGATTATAAGGTTTTAGCTTTGTATAGGTGCCGAGCACTTTTGCAAACATAGTCTATTTTTATAAATTTTCCTATCTATATATATTTTTTGATGTTTCTATCAGGAAAAATTGGGCTTTTCTGTTTGTTTTGTTATTGGATTCTATGTGTACTTCTTTGGTGACATATTGCTTTTTTCAATGTTTAGTTTAATTGATGAGAAGCAATGAACTGCTGTTTTTTTTTTAATTATTATTATTGTTGGCTGAGGAGATCTTTTGCTGGAACAGCAACTGATGTAGCAGGGGAAGTCATAGGGGTAGGGTCAGAAGTTAAAGATTTCAAAGCTGGTGACAAAGTTGTAGCTTTTCTACCCCCTCGTAAGTGCTCATTGATATTCTTTAGGTTTCATTTTTGTCTTCAATCCAAATTGTGATTGTTTAAGTTGATCTTCAAGGTTCTTTTTCAACTAGTTATAATTAAGATTGAAATTGGATTGTGAAGATTTGGACAACTGGTGATAGCATCATATCATCTACGTTCCTGATTCTGGTTCATTGAAAAAGAATCAGTAGTATTCATTTTTCTTTTGTATTGTTTAGGTTTTTTGACCAGACTGTTACTCTGCTTTACCTTCAAACTTCACTTTTTAACATTACCTGTTTTATTAGATCTGTTTTCCTAAAAAAAATAGCTTTAACCTCGGCTGTTCTAAGTGGACATTTCTGGGATAGATACAATCTTATTGTGTATTTGGGCTTAAGAGGAGATGTTGCACCATGGGGGTGGATGCAAATGGGCGCTGCTTTCCAGTTTTAGATAGAGCAAATTGCACACCTTGGGAAATTTAATAATTCACCTATACTATATCCTACATCGATCATTTAGATCTCATAAATCATTTTGTTTCTGTTTTGAATATTTTGTTACCTGATGACAGACTGGAGGTGGACTAGCTGAGTTTGCTGTGGCTAAGGAAAGCTTGACAGTTAGAAGGCCCCCAGAAGTTTCTGCAGCTGAAGGTGCTGGCTTACCTGTTGCTGGTCTCACTGCTCACCAGGCCCTCACTCAGTCAGCTGGGATCAAGCTTGATGGAAGTGGTAAGGAGACAAACATTCTGATCACTGCTGCCTCAGGTGGTGTTGGCCACTATGCTGTTCAGTTGGCAAAGCTTGGAAACACACATGTGACTGCCACTTGTGGGGCGCGCAACATTGAATTTGTCAAGAGTTTAGGGGCTGATGAGGTTCTTGATTACAAGACCCCTGATGGAGCGGCCCTAAAGAGCCCGTCTGGTCGAAAATATGATGCAGTGATCCACTGTGCATCAGCAATGCCCTGGTCTACATTTGAGCCGAATTTGAGCTCAAATGGGAAGGTGATAGAAATCACTCCTGGACCGAGCACCCTGTTGAGTTTTGCTTTGGGGAAACTTACCTTCTCCAAGAAGCAGTTCGTTCCATTGCTCTTAATAGCCAAGAAGGAGAACCTAGATTTTCTCGTTAAGTTAGTGAAGGAAGGAAAGCTTAAGACGGTGATTGACTCAAAGCATCCCCTCAGCAAAGCAGAAGCAGCTTGGGCCAAGAGTATTGATGGTCATGCTACTGGGAAGATCATTGTGGAACCATAGGTGAATATAATAAACTTGGTATTGCAGTTATTTATGTACTTCTGTGATGATTTTGTATGAAGTATACACACATGGCATGTTAATGTTCTATATTGGTATTTATTTTAAGATACTGTAAGTAAATGACGACTTTTGTATTTTTAGGAAAAGTATAAGTCTATGTTGATTCCAGTTTAGATGTTGAACCTGGTTCTTGATTACGTGGGATACTGAGCCAAAACTCTTAATGAGTTTGAAAGAAGCTGTCAAGTCCCCACTTTTCCTGAAAGAGGTATCTGAGAGCCATGTTCATATTCCTGAGGAGAGGCTCATCAGGACTTCAGTTGACCAGTTTCAATATGTGTTCCATTATCCTGAAATAAAATAGTTATATTTTCCTAAGAGTGTGCTTGGCGCTTGCTGGAAAGTAGATACTACTCTATTGGTCCGCCATTCTGCCGGAGAGAAATGTGGAGCAACATGTCTTGCCTTCCAAAACCAGGGGGACGGAGTTCAACATCGCGTCGAAGAAAAATCATATATAGTATGATTCATAAAATAAAGTTATATATACTTTTTAATTGTCAAAACTATGGACTCTTTCACAAAGAATACAGGCTCACGTGCCATGAGTATGATTTTTGCTTTGATTATACTATATTGTTTTCTTAGTACTGTAATTGAAAACCACTAATTTGAAAATTTTATAATTACTTTCATCAGTCATCACGGTAGGCACTTCTTTACAAATATAAAATTATTATAAATACATATTAATGTCTGAAACCTTGTGTTTGGTTGACGGTTATATTACTTGATTATTATGTTTAATTGTCAAGTAATAGAAGATTCTATTAAACTTCTAAAATCAATAGTAATTACTGTTGGTTATATATGAGGTAATCTAATTACCATCATTTTCTTAAGTATTTTAAGATTACCAATTTTGTTATAATTATACTCTTGAGTATTAAAATTTTTGGACAATAATACATTTATTTTGAAAACAATTTACAAATATATACATGGACTATGTTATCCTTATATACAAATTTTTAGGACATAAATACCCTTGGACTTAAAAAAAATTACCCAAGGGTGGTGGCCGGATTTGGCCACCACCGCCTATTGGTAGCCGATGCCAGAATGGGGCACGAGCCCTCAGATCTAGCCGATCATGCGTTAATCTTGTTGTTTCTGGCCAGATCTACGTCTTCTGGTCATTAACGATATCCAGATCTCTAACCGTTATCAACGAACAACAACCAATATTTTGGCCGTTAACGACGGCTAGTTCTGGCTGTTTGACGTCCAGATATCTATTCGTTACCAATAACCAATTCTAGCTATAGATCTTGCCATTTTTGACCATATTCGGCTGGTTGTGAGCTGTTACGACTATTATCGTCGTCGTCGATGGTGGTGGCAAGTGGCCGGCAGTGGCTTGGGGTGGTGGGGTTGTTTTGTTAAGTTTTAAACTTTTTTGGTTGCTGGGGTGTTTTAGCTAAATCTGAAATGTTAGGGGTTAAAAAGATGATTGATAATAACAATAAAAAATAATATTATATTAATATTTAAACAATAGAGGAATTTAGTAATTTATATAATATATTTATCAATTTATTCATCTCAACCAAACATATTAATATAATATATCTACCAATTTATTCCAACCAAACAAACACATTTCTTTTAATATTCAAAGTAATCTATCTTTTCATTAATATAACATTTTTAGTAATACAACGTTCCCTAAACAAAAGACACCAAAAGAAATTTTAAAAAGAAAATGGATGGTGATTATTATATAACATTTCAACTTCACGATCACCCGCCAAAAGAAAGAAAACAAGTCCATACTCTCGACCTTGTTGCATTCTCCTTCGGTTCTTCTCCAGTTCCCACAATAGTGGATGTTCATCTCATAATTATCTTATGTCTTTTCCTTTCTGTCTCTCTCACTTAGGGATGGGCGCGGGCTGGGTCGGGGCTGGGGACCCCATTCCCATTCCCTGTCCCTGTTACCCACTCCCATGACCATCCCCGTGGGCTGGAATTTTTCTCATGACCGTCCCCGGCCCGTGGGGATGGAATCACTCCCATCCCCGTCCTGATGAACGGCGCTTCGCGGGGATTTTTGCCCCGTGTAGATCAAAACTTTCCGCATGTTCTCATGACAATGATATTAAATTATTTTAATTGTGAGAAACTAGCACGTTAGTAGCTACTATATTTGACTGTTTAATTTTTGTAGTTAATTCATTAAAAAGGCTAAATTTAAGGTAAGAAAACATAAAATCAACAATTTTTGTAAAATTTAAATTTAGAGTTAAAAAGAGATACATAACTACTACCTTAAACTAATTTAATTGTTACTAAGTTAGTGACACCTTTTCTATATAGTATTAAATAGAGGAATTTAGATTCCACATTCTGATGCTTTATGTTGCTGAGACATTGTAATGTTCCACTGAAATAGTCTCATCTACTAAAATTCATAAAATAAATACCTGGCAGAAAATTTCGCTGAGAATTGATATGAATATGGTGAATAACAACAATTTCTTGACAAAAATTGAAACATGCTCATGGATTTCAAAGCAATAAAATATAAACAACCTTTAGGCTGCAACATAAACCTCATAATATATTCAAATTATCTATTGCAACATAAACATCATAATATATTGGTTTGGTAAATTATAATAATCTAATCAAAAAAAATTTTGGGCCATGTATTATTATTTTGTGAAATTCACAAAGTAATAATATATATATTTAATTATTAGACTCCCTCATTTAAATTATTTTTCTATAAATTTAATATAAACATTAGAAAGTATTATAAAAGTAAATATCATAAATTTAGATACATTACTTAAAACCATGATTTAAACTCTAATTTTATATACAATCTCGCAAAGGGAACAAAAAAAAAAAAAAAAACATAACATTCTCAAAAAAGCGGGGCGGGGAGGGTCGGGTCGGGGATTGCACTATCCCCTCCCTCGACTCGTTCCCGGGTGCAGGGATTTTTCTGAGGACCATCCCCAGCCTATCCCCAAATTTTTTGGGGATTCCCTGCACCATTTGGGCCGGGCCGGTCTGGATCCCCGCGGGGTCGGGGAAAACGCCCATCTCTACTCTCACTCGCTACATGTTGTTACACCCGACCAAACTCACAAGACTCCCCATTAGACTTCATGTATTTCAATCCGCTACCATGCGCTTGTGTATCTCTCTTCTTTCTTCTCAGATCCTCAAGGACCCAGAAACTACAACACACAACATTGTCTATAACGTTTCAACTCTGCTTAACAAACAGAATTGGCAACAAAACAACCTTCTTAAATCACTAGTTTCTCATATGACTCCAAATGTTGCTTCCCAAGTTGTACTTCTTCAAGGTAACAACCCTGACCTCGGTTTCTGTTTTTTCAAGTGGGTTTGTGAGCAATCCACTTATTGCTATGATATAGATGGCAGAGTCCATTTATTGAATTTAGTTTAGAGTGAACCACTTTTTCTCACCCAAATAATGGCTTAATGACACTTTTACACTGACAGACTTTTACAATATCACTTTATTATTCACGTTTATATTTCAACAAACAACAAAGAGCGCACTCGGTCTAAAATGTTAGGGCTTTTGAAAAGGGGAGGCCGATGAGTCTTTTGGTGGTGAAATGTTAGATTTTGGTGGTTATGATTGATCGAAATTTGACTTGGGAGGGGCAACTGCCTAAATCCTAATCGCTCAATTCCTGGTGATTGACGGGGTCGATGGGAGTAAGATTTAAGGAGTTTTGGTAAGTGATGATCGGGGAAGAGAATAGTGATGGTGTAGAGTCGCTATTGAAAAAGATTCCCTCAACTCAAATGCAAAATTAAAGCAAGCAACTAAAAATAAAGCAAACCAAACACAAGAATTTTAAAGTGGTTCAACCCAATCAATTCAGCCTACATCCATTATCCACTCAAACAATTCACTAAGCAAAAGCTTACAACTTATGCAATTTTTAGAAGAGAAAAATTGCAAATTGCTTACACTGTCCCAAAAAACCCAATTACACCCTTAATAACAGCCCACAATGACTATTCTTTTGATGTCTATCTTACAAAAGCCCAATCTACAAGTTCCTTGGAGACCCTTAATTTCAAGAGAAATTAAGCAAAAGAGTATCCACACCAAGGGAAGAAGAAATTTGGCCAAGAGAGAGATTTAGGGTTCTTAGAGATTTTTTTTTTTTTTTTTGATCTCTTCACAAAAATTGATATATCATTTTCTTTATATAGGAATCCTTGTAAACAATTAAATAATTGTTTTGGACTTCCTTAAACAATTCCATAGTTGTTATGAAGTTGTCAAACTTCTTTAAATTATAACATTGGATTAACATTTAATCACAATTAACAATTTAACTCTTAAATTGTTTACATAACAATTTAACCCTTAAATTGTTTATATGTTTACAAAGGGGTGAGTCTCATTGCAACTCCCATTCCCAAGCAATATGGGATTCAAGACACAATCCCAACAATTCCTCCATTGACTTGAATCCCCAAACATCATAATAGCATCTGAAAATCTTACTCGATTGACAATCTTCTTTTCTTTCACAACAAGAACTGGAACAACTTTATCTCTTGATTTCTTAAGACACACCTTCATCAAGCAAATATAGTTGTTTTTTATTCTTTTTGCCTTGCAAAATCAGAACATCATCTTTATATACTTCGTATTCATCTCTTTGACCAATGTAGGCATATCCACAAGAAGCCAACTCACCCAAAGAAATCAAATTGTAACTACAACTTGGTACATACCTCACATGATGAATCTTCTTGACAACACCATTGTGAAGCTTGAGACGAACGCTACCAACGCCTTCAATCTTCACCTTCTCGTTATTACCGACAACAATATTTTCATAATTTCCCTCTTCTTTCAATTCAACAAAACAATCTTGATCATCACAAACATGCATAGATGTAGTAGAATCTAAAACCCAACCTTTTTC